CATACACGCATACACGCATACAGGCATACACGCATACGTGCATACATGCATACACGCATACACGCATACACATACACATACACATACGCATACACATACGCATACATTTACCCATACACATACCCATACACAAACCCATAGACATACACATACACATGCACATACACATGCACATACACATGAACATACATACACATACACATACACATACACATACACATAAACATACATACACATATACATACACATATACATACACATACACACACACATACATACATCCATCCATCCATCCATCCATCCATCCATCCATCTATACATACATACATACATACATACATACATACATACACACAAAGATAGATAGATAGATAGATAGATAGATAGATACATAGATACATAGATACATAGATAGATAGATACATACATACATACACACACATACCTACATACATACATACATACATACCATGACATTACATACCATGACATTACATACCATGACATTACATACCATGACATTACATACCATGACATTACATACCATGACATTACATACCATGACATTACATACCATGACATTACATTACATATTACATTACATTACATATTACATTACATTCCATATTACATTACATTACATATTACATTACATTACATATTACATTACATTACATATTACACTACATTACATACTACATTACATTAGTTACATTACATATTACATTACATTAGTTACATTACATTAGTTACATTAAATATTACATTACATTACATAGTACATATTACATAGTACATTACATATTACATTACATATTACATTACATATTACATTACATATTACATTACATAGGACATTACATATTACATTACATATTACATTACATATTACATTACATATTACATTACATATTACATTACATATTACATTACATATTACATTACATATTACATTACATATTACATTACATATTACATTACATTACATTACACTCCATTACATTACACTCCATTGCATTACATCACATTACATCACATTACATTACATATTACATTACATTACATTTACATTTACATTTACATTTACATTTACATTACATTACATTACTTACATACATACACACATACACACATACATACATACATACATACATACAGACAGACAGACAGACAGACATACATACAGACATACAGACATACAGACATACAGACATACATACATACAGACATACAGACATACAGACATACAGAGATACAGAGATACAGACATACAGACATACAAACATAACATAACAAAACAAAACAAAGCATTGCATTGCATTGCATTGCATAGCACACATAGATAGATAGATAGATAGATAGATAGATAGATAGACAAAGATAGATAGACAAAGATAGATAGACAAAGATAGATAGACAAAGATAGATAGATAGATAGATAGATAGATAGATAGATATAGATAGATAGATAATGATAGATAGATTAGATAGATAGATAAAGATAGATAGATAAAGATAGATAGATAATGATAGATAGATAATGATAGATAGATCATGTTAGATAGATAATGATAGATAGATAATGATAGATAGATAATGATAGATAGATAATGATAGATAGATAATGATAGATAGATAATGATAGATAGATAATGATAGATAGATAATGATGGATAGATAATGATAGATAGATAATGGTAGATAGATAATGATAGATAGATAGATAGAAAGATAGATAGATAGATGGATAGATAGATAGATAGATAAAGATAGATAAAGATAGATAGATAAAGATAGATAATGATAGATAGATAATGAAAGATAGATAATGATAGATAGATAATGATAGATAGATAATGATAGATAGATAATGATAGATAGATAGATAGATAGAAAGATAGATAGATAGATAGATAGACAGACAGATAGATAGATAGATAGATAATGATAGATAGATGGCTAATGATAGATAGATAGATAGATACATAGATAGATTAGATTAGATTAGGTTAGATTAGATTAGATTAGATTAATTAGATAGATAGATAGATAGATTAGATAGATAGATAGATAGATAGATAGACAGATAAGAAAGAAAGAAAGAAAGATAGATAGATAGATAGAAAGATGGCTAGATATATAGATAGATAAAAGATAGTGATAGATAGATAATGATAGATAGATAATGATAGATAGATAATGATAGATAGATAATGATAGATAGATAATGATAGATAGATAATGATAGATAGATAATGATAGATAGATAGATAGATAGATAAATAGATAGATAGATAGATAGATTGATAGATATATAGATAGATAATAGATAGTGATAGATAGAGAATGACAGATAGACAATGATAGATATATAATGATAGATAGATCGATAGATAGATAGATAGATAGATAGATAGAGAGAGAGATAGATAGATAGATAGATAGATAGATAGATAGATAAAGATAGATAGATAAAGATAGATAGATAAAGATAGATAGA